CCTCCCACACCTCCTGTGCTTCTTTTCCAGCTCCCCTCCCTGGAAAGCTGCTCTACAATCCCTGTTCTCTGCTTCTCTCTGCCACCTCTGCACTCCTCCTTCCTTGTCTGCTGCCTGAGGCTACATCTTGCCCTCTGGCAGTCACCCCTCAGGACCTACTGTGGTGTTTCCCACAGACCTCCTCACAGCTGCCAATCCTTTCCCACAGCTGTTTCCTCCAGAAGCACCACAGTGGCTTGGCAGGCTGGACCAGCTTTCTCCCAGCAGCCAATACGGAGGCCAGTCTTCATCTTGGGTTGCATCCTGCTCTCCCTTGCCTCCTCTCCAGGCTGTGGCTGTGGCTGCATTGCCCTTGACAGCCACATGAGCTGCCTTCCCCAACCCACAGGCTGTTTTCAGGGCCTGGACACCCTGGAGTTGCTCATCGGCTTTGGCAGGGTAGCGTAAATGTCACGTCCCTGCCTGTTCCCAGCCTGATGCCTGTTCCTGGCCTGAAGCGATGCCCACGTGTCTCCCATTATGTAAGGCGTAATGTGGATGGGAGCTGGGAGGCCTCGGGCTGGCTTGTGCACCATGAATGACAGCTGCAAAAATGAGAGGGAAACTATTTTTAAACCTTCCCCTGTCCTCCTTCTCCAGCTCTTTTCCCCACAGCCTCAGCCAGGCTGTGTGGATGGCCAGCCCGTGGGGGCAACTGGTCCTGCTGGGTTCTGCTGAGCAGTTCTTTGCACTGCCACAGAGGTACATGCAGCACCTCAGCACAGCACTGGTGGTACCCAGAGGACATGTCCTCTTCCAGCCCTCCTTGGCCATCAACAGTCCTCCAACATTCTTTCCTTCACCTCTCAGAGCCCTGCTTGTTGGCAAGGACCAGCAGTGTTCCTTTCTTTCCCTCAGCCTCTCTCTGTAACTTTAGAAAGGTCATTCCTTTCTCCTTGAGCCACAGGGTTATCACAATTCCTTGGAGAAGAGCAGAAGGGATCTAGATGGGGGAAACCTACCTTCTACTGCAGAAACATGATACTCCAGCACCATCCTGTCCCTCAGAGTGAGGGCAAGAGACAGATGGTCTGGAGCAAGGGCCTGCATAATTGTCCCATCTCCCACTGACTGTTCTTGGCACAGGAACCAGGAGGGAAGAGGCAAGGTGGGCGAGGAGCTGTCTAAGAAAGGGGCTCTGACAGTCACAGGGAGAGTTATCAAAACCAGTAGTGTTTCACCCCAGAATGCTGTAAACAAGACGTCCCTCAAGTTGGAGCAATGGAAGAAGTCATGCAGGGGGTGGACACTGCCCATGTGCTGCCAATTTGGCTCTGAATAAAGACTCAGTTCAAGGATTTGCCCATCAAAGAATTGTCTGGAGAGACCAGCAAATGCAAGGTACCTCTTCACCTGGCATTGCAGATGCTGCTTTAGACACCCCTCCTCAGGAAGGATGGAGCTGACCTGCAGCAGGTACAGAGCAGGCTTGTGAGTGGCCATTTTGAGCGTGGAGCTTGTTTAATCTTAAACAGGAGAATTTGAGAGGGGATGGCATCCATGTATCAAAAAGATATGCTAGGACAAATGTCTAATTTCTTCTCTTAGAAGCTCATATGGATCATAAATACATTTAGAATTAAAATTAGAAAGAAGTTCCTAGCCAGCCATGGTATAAACTTCTGTGACAGCCTGTCAGGCTGGAAGGTGGGCAGAAGAAGCCTAATTTGGTAAGAGACTCAGCAGGCTGGTAGTCACCGCATGGCAGAAGAGGAGGGAGCCTAGAATGAGCCATACACAGGTCTGAAATGAAGCTTGCAATTATGTCCCCAAACTGGTCCCCAGAGGGATTGGTACAGAGCTGAAACCACAGTGTATTGCATCCTCTGTAAGTTGGTTACATATCATTAGTGTCATGCTTCAGGGTCCTCCCAGATCTTTAAAGAGGCAAGAAAGAGGTCACCTCTTTTCCTTCTGGGTTTTTAGGAAATGAATTTCCTTAATTTCTGTAACCTCTCTGGCCACAGTAGCCAGGGGCTGGGGTGAGGCAGGGAAGAGAATAGGGTCACTCCTGCTACTCTTAGTCACGCTTTGGGCGTACTGGTTCACCTTGCTCACAGGCTCAGGACAAAGCCAGCTCTAGGGCTAGGGAAGCATTTCCCTCAGGCTTGGTGTACTGTGGCAACCTGGGCACCTTAAGGTGTCGTTCACGATGGCAGGCAATGCCCTTCTGGGACTCCTTGGCTGCATTTCCCCTGTTGCACGACCTTGGGGAACACTAGAGACACTTTTGCTCTCTCCCACTACTCACTCCAGCTGCTGTTTGCATCCTTACGTTTCTGTGGGCCTTGGCAAAAGGAAAGGACAGGTTGCCTTTAGTCAGTCAGGACATTCTCTGGGTAGTCCCGAAGCGTCTTGACTTGGGCAGGCCCCAAAGAATCCAGAGCCTCAGCCCTGTGTTTCAGCGCAGCACGGAGCCCGCACTGTCACAAGACCCTCAGCCTTTGCCACCCGCTATTTTTGGCCCCCCTCAGCGCTGGGGCTGCAGGGCGCACGGGCCCTGACGCGAGAGCCTCCGTGAGGGCTGCGGGGAGGCGGCTCGGAGGCTCGGAGGGCTGCGGGGAGGCGGCTCGGAGGCTCGGAGGGCTGCGGGGAGGCGGCTCGGAGGGCTGCGGGGAGGCGGCTCGGAGGCTCGGACAGCCGCGGGGGCCCGGCAGGTGCCGCAGCCGGCAGCCGAAGCCGCTCCTTTCCCGGCCGAGCTCCGCCGCGGCGCTGCCCTGCGGCGGGCGGGGCCCGCTCGGGGCGGTGCGCGCTGCGGCAGCGCCACCTCGCGGCGGCGCGGGGGGCCGCGGCTCGGCCGCCATTTGCAGCGCCGCGGGGCCGTGCGGGGACGGCGGGAGCCGCAGACCGTGTCACAGCGCGGCATCCGCCCGGCTGTACCACTCGATGAAGCCAGCCTTTCCTTCGGGATAAAGATTTGGAACGGCAAGTTATCCCTGGCTGCAAGCAGAGTGCAGGAACAGGACACCAGAGCAAGCATGGCTTGATGGACTGAAGCAGTATGTGAATTTAGGAGAAGATGAGATTACTTCTCCTCAAATGATGTATTTTACATTTTACGCCCTATAAAGCTTTAGGAACAAATTAGCAATCATCAGGACAAAATGAATGCACCGGCAGACAACGCAGGCTGAAGCAGCAGCTGCTTGGAAGCCACCCCCATCCTTCTGCAGCACAGGAGGGCACGAGGTGCGGCCACAGCACCAAGCCTGGGGCAGGGGGCCCTACTGCCACCTCACTGCCCCCTTGGAACACGCACGTGGATCTGGCACAAAGCCTTGCTGCTCCAGCCTTCACCCGGGGGTAGGGCGGGTGCTGGGCCTGCTCTTGCAAGCTGGAAAAATATTTCGGGAGTAAAGCATACAAGAACCAGTTTTGATCATAGAAATTGTGATCAGACATAGAGGGATAAGGTATGTGAACTCACCTCTTGCAACATCTGGAATACTGCCAATAACTTTCCATTCCACCTCCCAAGCCAGCCTCTTTCACCTCCTCTCCTTTCCTTATGAGAGGAAGGTTAGTCTCATAATTACTATTTTGCAATTATTTCTCAGGGACACCCCACCCACTTAAGTACAAGACTATCATAGCTATACCATCAGCTTTTGGCTTGACTCTCATTGTCAGTTTGCTCTCCATTTCCTCAGAAGCCTAAGAGACACTGCAGAAACATGTCAATTTTCTCAATGGTCATGTCCAGCCAACAACCACAGCCAACAAGCAAAAAGCCCCAAGGCGCTTGGCAGATGCAGCTCTTTTGCACATTTCTCAGCCACAGCATTCCACTGACATTACTGAGTGCTACAGAACCAAGTGGAGACAGATCCTTTCTGATCTTCTGTGGATCTGGTGTAGCCAGCAGGAGCAAAAATGAGTACCAATGTATCTGAAGTCCCAAGATCAGCAGATCTTCAGTACACAACAGGAAGAAGGCTGAGTAAGCAGCTGTCATATTTCAGATCACTAATAGCTGCAACATTTCCCAAAGGAAACTAGTAATATAATGGGCAGAGTTAGTACATTTATAAACTCACTCCCCACCCACCCAAGAGAACATTCAAGCTCCCTGAAAAGAAGGCAGCGTAACAAACATTGGTGCTGCTGCCAGCTGATATCCCAACAGGGAAAAAATGCCAAATATCCTCCACTCTGTTAAGACCATGTAACATCAGAAGGATACATCGAGCACAGCCTTGCATCCACTCAGTTTCTAGGGCAAATCCTTGGCTTGGCCGTGTCAAATCCTCAGCCTTTAGTATGCAGTATAGGTCAGGCCCCTCCCTCTAAATAGGAAGGGCTTCTGCTTTCATAAACAAATTGCCTGGGTCACTAATCCTGACATGACTCTGGAAGATAGCCAGAGAAAAACAACTCACTGACAGTTTGTTTGTTCCTTGCTACCACCCTCCATCACTACTCATCCAGTAAACATTTTACAAAAGTGAAAATCCAACAAAAATTCTTACTGCAGTTTATCTAGAGATTATGCTGAAGTGACCCTCAACAAATCAATCAACCGACCAACCAAGGTTTAGTTAAAAAAAAAAAAAATTCAGAACCTTAATTATTTTCCTTCAAAAAAAGTAAAATTCTGATTATTTTGTGGATGTTCTCAGCCCAAATGTAACAGACAAAGCACGGTCCAAGAGACCATGGGTGACTTGTTCTCATATTTTGCCCCCTACCTGAGAGTTCAATGAAGAGTCACTGCAGGACAAACAGAAAACCTTGCAATGCTTTTGAAATCAATTCATCCAGAAAATAAAAGGAGGGAACCGTATAGCTGTTATCAGCACCCTTAACACATGGGAAATGCATATCAAGAACCTGCTCCCAAAAAGGCGATCAGCTGCTTTAGTGTCTACCAACTTCACTGCAAAGTGCAGGTGTAATGCTGGCAGTGAAGCTGTACACCACACAGTATGCTATCTAGAGAACAAAATTACTGGATCTCAGCATAGTGGAATATACATTTTATTTCTTAAAAAGGAAGGGTACTAACAGAATTTAATACAGTCAAAATTTTACATTTTAAACAAAAGCTTTTCTTTTTCTTAAAAACCAGTTACGAGCAGAGAGGTGAGAAGATTTAAACTACTCACAAAATCCAAGCTGAAGACTTTGAGAATTCAAATCTGTGGTTTATACATTTAAAAAAGTGTAATAAATGGAAATATAAAATAATACCAACTCTGTAATAGTGAAATGCCCTTTCCTCATTAGATTGCTGTTTAAGCACCTTTATTTTCACCCATCAGCTGCCAGGAGTGTTTAGGTTTATGTACAAAATAAGCAGTTTGGGACAGAAGATTCATATATAAATTAAAACCATTTATGGCAATACAGTTTTACCCAACTGCTTTACAAGCTTTATTATCTCTATCACTTCTATGGAATTCTTCAGTCAGGATGATCTCAAATGCTTTTGATGGACTGCTTCAAAAAGCAGCTACAGATATAGGAATTATATAGACAACCTCAAGGAGTAGACATCCAAGAGATTAAACAACAGACAGTAAAACTAAGATCAGATTTTTATCTTATATAAATACTGTGCAGATTTATCATCCATCCCACTGAATGAATGGAACAGATCAGTGTCACATCTGAAGACAAAAAAATACTTTTATCCAAGAGGCAACAGAATTTCAGGCCGAATATAGCAGATAGGAGTTCCCTCAAATTATGCAGTTAAAAACTGTATGTGTCTGAAAAAGCTTTACAAGAACAGTTTTCAGAATAACTTACACATCTTCTTAGCTGTTCCATAGTTATTTTACAGCCTAGAGACACTGAGAGAGAAGGGAAAAAATAGAAGAAAAAAAGAGATGCTGTTGTCTCTGCCCACTACAAAAGATGTGGCTTTGTCATTTATGGAACACTGCAGACACAGCTGCTACCAGAGAGGAAACTGCTCCAGTACAGCATTAAAGACAAAGTTATGTTATGGCTGGAGAAATTGTCATCACAGGTTAATCTCTTTACATGAAGGCTGATGGATTAATCTCACCTCCTCCTCAAAACCCAAGTGTTCAGATTTCCTAGCTGACTACTTAAGATTCTTATTCCACTGTTTTCTATTTTTTTTTTCTGTTTAACACAAGATAGAAAAGGTCATGAAATCTGATGAAAGGTCCAGCTGTGCAGCATCCAGTGAACATGTACTCAGCAAAACCACAAGTCATTAATCACTTTCTCTCTCACTCTCTCTCTCCATGCCACAACAGGAAACCTGTGTCATCTATGTACACAATGCAACTAATAAAGATGTAGACTACCTAGGTCACAAATGAGCTTCAGTAACAGTCACTCACTGTTACACTGCAACTTGCTGCAGTCTGGCTGAAGGGTGGAGACAAATCTGTTTGAGCCAAAAGAGAGAATAGCTAAAAAAACACACCCAACAAAAACCACCCAGCTTCAGTTTTTCTCAGTCACTAAAGTTTACAAATAATTTAATATTGCTAATTTCCAAATGCAACTCACAGACAAATCAACTGTTCAGCTAACAGGATGGGAAAGGTACAATAATGAATGTAATCCGTGACTACTGTTAAAGAAAGACTGGAAGAGAATCAGTTCCCTCAAAATCTTAGTTTCTCTGCTTAAGTAGCTCATTATTATTTTTAAAACATTTTTGTTGATAGAAAGCATCACAACTAGACTAGAATTCCACAACATCAATCTTTGTTTTGATTTCTGTAGTTCTCTAGGAAAGAAAGAATCCCAAATCAAGCTACATGAAGCATTAACAATATTCAGATATTACAATGGAAGCACTTATTTATTATTTCATAGAACAGATTAGTTTTAAAAGTGTATTTACATGTTCTAAGTTATACAAAATACAGTATTCCAATAATCATGTTAATCACCATATTTCAGACAACTTAACATAAAAGTGCGGAGGATTCATCCATCCCTGATCCTGGCCAGTAGCAAGCGGTCACCCCAGTGTGACAGGTGAGAGCTGCTATTGTGCCCCCTCAAGAAAACAAATCCCACCATCCCTTCTCACTGAAACGTAGCTGCAGATCTAGGAAAACATTCAGGCAGGTACACGAGCAAGGTTTGTTGAGACCCACAGACCAAAATCACATGCCTTAATTTACTAGACGTATGTGAAGTACATTTTAAAGTTTTTTACAGATGTTGTACAGCAAAGGGCTTCTGCTCATGCCTTAGTTAGGAAAATGAACTAACAAGGGTTTTGGCTATATAACAGGCATCCAGATTACACTTAATATCAACAGCCCTATAACTACAACTGGACAGTGTGTTAAGGACACAATTCTGCAGCTGACTGCTTGGGCAGACCTCCACATTCAATAACAGATCCTGTGAAGTCCACATGGTTCTCTATAGATACAGGGTTCTTCCCATGCAGAAATTACAACAGAATTGAGGCCTTAAAAGACTGGGGCCTCAGATAGTAGTTTCCTCATGAGACAGCACTGACCAGGTCACATTGGCAGGTCAAGTCCCAGCGCAACAGCACACTTAGTTGAAGCAACGGCTATTTTTTCATGCCTTTCTGCAGTAACTCTTTTCCCTATCTGTATATTCCTTTTACTTCTTTCTAGACTGTGGAAGTAGGACCAAGACAAGGAGATTCCCAAGACCTAAGCAAGTACTTATCTTCAGTACGATGCTAAACTGAGGGGATCCAAATTGGCCTAAAATTGTAAACAGTGAGGTGTCAGTTTTAGCAATTTCACTCAGGTCAGATTCTTGCATTACTCTCCTCTTCCTCTTTCATTCTCTCCTTGCCAAGTATCTATGTCTATCTATGTATGTATCAGCTCAAAGGATTCCTTTCTCCCTGTGTCTGAACTTCAAGAGTTTGCATTCCAAAAGTGACTCACAAGGGATAGCAGACTATCAACCTAACAAATTACATCCATATGTCAATTTGCATTATGATGAGTTAAATCACTGTAATTTCTCAATTAGCATTATGTTAGCATCTCCACAGATATTTAGTTAAGCTTATTCTTTCTACCTTTATCCCAGTCTTCAACTGTGAGTTTAGCTATCATCACCATGTTACAGTGGCAGATATACAGACCAGAGTAATTATCTGAACATCTAGAAAGCCAGTCTAAGTCTTGTAGTGCTGCAAAGGCACAATTCTAGCACTAACAAATTATTCTGCTCTGTATGGATTTAGGTGTATGTTGCCAAAAATATGAGATTTATGCACTAAGATAAATTTGCATTTCTCATCTTGTGCTTAACAGCTAAAACTAGAAGGGGTTAACAAAAGCATATCTGGATTTTGTTTTCTTACAGTATTCCCAAAGCTGCTGGGCTCCCACTGCTCCTCCCAACTTGAAATTGATCTGGTACAGCAGATAATGCTGAAAGTGATTTCTGCTTAGAAACACCTTGGGCTTTCAAACAGCACAGCAAGGAAATGGAGAACTGTCAGAAAAGACATAAAATGTTACTGCAAAAAGATGCTTAGCAAGAAACCAAACAACCCAAAAACATTTCTTCTCCAACACAAGTTTATAATACACTACTTTTTCACTCTGTCCATGAAGGACCAAAAAAAAAAGCAGAGTTCAGATTATCTGAGTATCAAAACTATCAGGACCAGTTTACCAACACCACACCTGCAATGAGATGTATCCACTTGATCCCAGCACAGAATGCTTCAGTTTCTCCACTATGTTCAGACTCCAGCATTTGCTTAAAACTTTACAATAACCACACAAGAGTAAAGACTTTTTCCTGTGGGAGTTAATGAGATCTTTGTTACTAGCTTCAGTGGGAGCAAATCTTGGCAACGGGTGATAGATTAAGCTTCTTGGAATTTTTAGACACAAATCCACTATATGTGCATTAGATCATCATGTATGAAAGCAATACTGTATTAAAAATTGCACATAATTTATTCATAGCTGCTGTCTTCTGTAGAGTAAAACAACACTCATTGTCCACAAATTTCATCCACAGTTTATATATTTTCAAAGTTAGTACTATGAAATGGCCATGTGGTGTCAATCTTCTTCCTATACACCTGTCATAAACTGCTCTCTTTCATGGCAATTCCTGCAGTGATGCTGAAAGGTGCACATGCCCTTCATTCTCGCCCCTTGGAGATGGTCCCTTTGTGGAATGGGGTAGGTTGGCATCAGGCAAACTTATGGCCTCTGTAGAGTATGTTCCAAGGCTAGAGAACTTCAAACCCTAGCAGTGTCAATTCAGCATCTTTCAATATTCAAATTGAGCTAAAAGAATATTTGTCTTCTTATGATCACTAAGAAAACATACCCAAGTTATCACTTACAGATAGGATTGTCATCCAAGTCAAAGAAACAAAATGATATAGTGAATCATTCTGAGAGGACCAGAGAGCTCTGGAGCAATAAACTTAACTTCCTGAGACTGCAAAAAGTGAGAAAAGAATTCAGCATTGCACAGTATTTTCTGTCTGGCTCTATCTGCACTCCTTTAAATAGTTACTACCTTCTCATCTATCTTTAAAAATACTGCTTCTTAAAAACAACAACACCAAACTCTCCAGCTACAAAAGTTGAGCTGCACTCACCCTAAAGTGCAATATTCCAGTTTTGCAACCCGTAGACACATGAATCACAGATTGTGCAAATCTGCATTGTCCTACAGGGAAGCACAAATGTTTGCTAACAGTCTTCTCTGAAAGAAAGATCTAATGAACATTCACTGTTAGTTTCCACTGTGTAAGCTTTTAAAATAACAGAAATAAAACAATAGACTTGCACATGCTAATCTCACTGACTGAATATTTTGCTGTTAAAATGTCATGACATACTGCAAAACCAAATCCTCTACACAACATGTAAGTATTTAAAAGATATTCCTAAGCAGAGTAGCATCCAAAGCAACTCTTTGCCCAGTTATTTAGCTTTCGGCTTTGTGATATAAATAGGAATAATGAGGTTTAAGAACAGCCAGGGCTAATGGAAAATTTAGAAATTATAAACGAAAAAGAATGCTACATTTACATGCTGTGATGCTTGTTTGTTTTGTTGCTGGTTTGCTTTTCTTAATCCACGGTTTGGGCCTTTATCACCAAAATAAAGCAAAAACCAGAACATACCAGAAAATATTAGTCCAAATCAGCAATACTCAATACAGGTAGAAATATAGGTTGCCATATCAGCCACATGGAACCAAGATATTTATCTATTTGATAAAAATATCCCAATATCATCTCAGAGCTTTATAATCCCAAATTATAACAATACACTTATAGGTATACTTTGGTAACCAGCTTAAAAAAACTTTCTTGACTTCAGTAGATTGTCCATTAAAAATGATAGGTCAAAATCTACATTTAATATATAAGCTCTGTACAAAGGTTTTGTTGTCAAACACTGGTTATGAATTCTGGCTTTTGAAATTTTTTGCTTTTTATTAAGCTTACAATATTAGCTGCTGCTTCTCACATTTTTCTCTGTGTTTCTGCTGTGAAATCAGGGGCAGAATCTCTTGGGTAAACACAAAGTCAAAATAATTGTTCAACATGATAGCACTGAGCTATGCTGGTAACTAGTCATGCCTCATAATTTTGGCACTTGTGCTTCAGAAAGCTTTCAAGATTATGTTTTTTTGAGGTGTATGCTATTCATCAATCTCCAGGCACAAACACACTCCTGTCTTACAAACTCCATTTTGGCTACAAGCATGGTTCTGTACTTCTTTCCTAGAAAGTAATTACTCTTGTTCTTCTCACATAGATTTAGCTCTCAAGCTCCCTTAACGTAAGAGCAGATTCTTGTTATGCTGATGAAATTCTTACGACGGAACTTCCACCTACTCCCTCCATCTTCTAAACACAATATGCGTCTCCACAATCCATCCAAGCTTTCATCTACCCTCCCACACCAGCACAAGGGTCCTCACTCTTAAGCCGCCCATTGTAACTGCAGGAGCACCACAGCTGTCCTGCAGTCCAGAGACAGAAAATGATAATATGGCAACTAATAGTCATTGTTTTCCTGGAACTAATATGCATCTGATAGTTTCAGACTGCCAAAAGACTTGGAGATCAGCAACTCAGAACAGCACCTTTTCCACGATTGCTAAGTCGTTAGCAGAAGAATAGAACCTTTTTCAGCAAGATACCATAAAAGAAAGAGAGCCTCATAAACAAAATAAAGGAAAAGGCAGGTTACAGCAGTGTAGCTGTGGAGCAGGAAAGCCACCGACGTGGTTTATTATTACGTGGGTCATTTGATAGAGGTTTATTACTCTCTGTATGGCACACTGTGGTGCTTTCTGGATTATTTCAGTACATCTGCTGTAATCTTCTGCACTGAAGTCTCACACATTACGGGCTGCTGTCTTCCTGGTGTCTTTAGTTCTGCACTCACAGTACTCCACAATACGCTATACTGTACCAGAAGTGAACCGCAGTAGTAAATAAAATTCATTATACTGCAGGGAAAAGAGTCTTAAAATATAGCAGTTCTTTATATATACAGACACTTTCATTTAAAACTCCCTCTCTTCTTCCACTCGAGTGCCAAAATGAAGAACCACTATTCACACAGGCTGTCAACAGACTTTGAGACATGAACTTTGAGTGTCTTGACAAAACCCCAGTAGGTAAGCTTACTGTAGTTCATAGTTACAGTGAGAAAGACAGATAAGAAAGCCATATACAGAATTAAGGAGACTTTGCACTTTTCATCATGCCCAGCCCTGGGTAGTCAGATGGGGTACTTGCAGGCAAGGAGGCAGGCAGGGTCATCATCAGTTGTTTGTGTTGGGACACCTCATAGATTTCACTGCTCACTCTGAAGACTGGCGATTCATGTGTGCTTTTTAGTTTCTTTGTTTTTAAAAGTCTTTAAAGTTGCATCACTCGGAATCAGATAAGTCACTTTAAACAAAGCAAAGTGTTAAGTGTGACAATTTATTTATAACATACTTCCCACCATCACCACCACAAACCACCCTGTGAAAGAAAAAAACCCTGCTGAAAGGGTGACAATTTTTAGTATGTTTGAAAGAAATTAGACCAACACCACATCAAGAGCCACTCTAGTCAAATTAAGAGTATAACAGCAGGCGGGGGGGGGGGGGGGGGGGGGGGGGGGGGGAGGAAGCTCAAAGCATACATTGGGTGTTGTGGATTAGCCTGCTTCTCCACTTCCTTAAGAATTCAACACAAAATTGCTCTAAACTCATAATTTCCACATTATGTTTAAAAGACAAGCTAGTCTTTAGCATAGAAAATAAACCCTAATGCTTTTCTAATGTATTTTCAGATTTCAATAGAGCAACTGCAATTACCCGCAACATCACCATCCCACATTTACTCCTTAATGTAAATATTATCCCAGGAAGTATAGCCTAAGAGCTCTGACACAGCCACTATCTTAAGACAGCTTCTCTTGTTAAGAGAACTTTTAGACATATACTTCTGGTAAAGCTTCTAGCTCTTGCAGTTGTAGGTCATGTAGAAGGTCTCAACATCAAACACAGCGTATTTTTTTCTTTTAACACCATATATTGTTGAAGCAGTGCTTGGTGCTGAGAATGGATTACTTCCAAGAGGGCAAGTCTTGTGTGCTAATTTTCTATCAGGAAACATGCTGGAGATAGAACCAGCAAGCATGGAGAGACCAGATATACTGCTGCACAGGAGATAGTGAGGTAAACTGTTTGTGTTTATAGTGGGTGTAGCTTATCCCATAGTGTGTTCATGAGGCAAAGGACCAAAACTCTTTCTCAATCTCTTGCACAACAGATAAGGTGCAGTAAAGTAACAGAGGCTTGTTTACTTCTTTAAAAAAGCCCCTTCTTTCAAAGCATAGGGTGCTGGCCATTTTTTAACAGCTGGGACTCAAGGTTCAGCCTAATGAGCCAGACTTCTTTTTCTAAATCTCCCTTACTTCTCAGTCAAGTGCAACATGCTGCTTTATCGGCAGTTCAAGAGGGAAGACCCTCTAAGGAAAGAAAGGAGGGGTGGTGGTAGAAATACAGTCTAGAACCCACATCAAATTATTTTGTCCACATATGTAAAGCAAGTGATTCACTACTGTTCTCTATCCTTGGTTTCTGCAAGTTATCCAGGATTAGAACCTATCAAGACATTTAGACAGTATTGTAATCAAAACTGCACTGACTCCATTCTGCATAACATTCATAGATTGCAATACTTCTGTTTTTACAAGAGATTGAATATTTTCCTGTCTTCCTGTCCTACAGGTTCTGCTATTCCTCTTCAAGAGGAACAGAGTTCTATACAACAATACTTTCTAGTGCCTCTGAATGGGAGACGAAACAATTTCATGATGCTGCCCAGCAACATCTACTTATATCCTAAAATTATGTTTTACACTTTTACTGGGAGGGGGAGGTGGAATGGAGAGAAGAGCAAGGGTTTGAAAATTGAACAAAACAAAAAAAAATAAAAGAAAGAGAGAGGAGAGTCTCCTAGGCTCTTTCTCCACTTAAAAATGAAGATTAGAACAGATAGCAAAAGCTCTTTCCAATCTGGAGGGATTCACATTTATTCCTCCAGACAGGTGAATCTGTTCAATCGTATGGCATAAGAAAATGTTCTATCAGTGTTGAGAATAAGGTTCTAAATATGGACACTAAGATTTTGGACAACAGAATGATCAGGAAAGGGCCTGAACCAGTTGTGCCAACAGAAACAGGGTTTGTTTGTGTTTTGTGGTTTCTTTCTAGTGTAGATGCAAAATGGCAAAGCCTCCATAAACTTTATTTCTGGGAGTCTCTACAGAAGGCAGAGAAGTCTAAGAGGCTAAAACAAAGAGCCCTAACAAGGAAAAGGGTGTGCTTACAAGGGTCCGTATCTGGTCTCGTATTTAGAAACAATGTTCTTGCATCGTCCCACTTCCTTGCGCAGCTCTGCCACCTCCGTCCTCAGGGCTGTATTTTCTTTCTCAAGAAAGGCTGCCCGAATTGTGATCTGATTCTCCTTTAATCGCCGAGCATCACGGGAACGCTTTGCTGCCACATTGTTCTTCTTTCGCCTTGTCCAGTATTTTTCATCCTGTATAAAAAACAAAGCCAAACTGGCAAGTGTTTCGGAGACACCTCTTCATTGCATAATGATATTCACACTGACTGCTCCATAGGTTTGCAAGGCTCTGACATCAAAATGGAGACCATGCAGTACTGTAAGACTACATCTTGACACAAGTCTTCTAGGATTAACCAAGTGGTTTGCTAGAACTAAAGAGATTTAGAGACTTGGGTATTAAGAAGCTTTCCAGCTGAAATGCTTCTATTACTTAGTTTCAGTTCAGGAGCGAACTTTTACACTTTTACACAAAACCACCTGATCTTGTCTAGGCTGCTTAAATCCAGATTAGACACAATACTGGGCAAATATAGACAATGGCCTTCAAAAATGCAAGTGATGAGGATTTGACTTGATAGTTCTTCTAATTTCTGTGTATAGCATTATCAGTTGCTCCTTGCCAGTAATTAGCTCATGATACCAAAACCTGCAAACCAGCCAGCACAGCAGTTGGCTTGCCAATGCTATTCTTGGCAACGCTTCTGCCCAATCACGTAGGTAAACTGCATTAGCTCTGTATGTCAAAGGGTTTGGATAAAGAGTCAGAAACTTTTATCATGGCCTAGAAGAGTTTGCAGCAATAAATCTGTTACCTTTTGCTCGTCTGGGACAAAAACCTTCTTGGCTTTTTTAATCATAGGTTGTGGTTTTAGGTCCTCTTCAGTAAACTTGTGTTTGCGAGGATTGAAGAGCTCACCACCAGGCACACTGGACAGCACTAAATCAGCAGGGTCAGGGTTAAAATTCACCTCAACTTCTACGCAGTCAGGATCAATGGGGCTGGGTGTATTTCTCTCATTTTGCGGTGGGGACTCTGGCAACAACAAGAGAAATTACAATATATTCAGCAGGACGACAAGAATTAACAAAGAAGCCAACTTCATTGGCCTGTGGTGAGAAATAGCTAATATAATTAGTTGGTGCTTCCCTGAGGTGTGGGAGTGCTGCACTGCTGCTGGTACAGAGAAAGAGTTCACAGTCCAGTCTGTAATATAACTCTAGGAGCATATGCCAGAATAACAGACATGAGCAGACAGATGCAGGACAGGCGTTAATACTTCCTTGGCAAAAATTACATGTTTTGCACACACAAAAAGCACCTTCAGCAGCAATAAGAAGGGCGAAACTGGTATGAGCCTGAGTTTTCTACCATACAAGTCCTTACAGAAACGAGCCTGCCCAAAGACCCCAGTCCCTGGGTCCCTTCAAAGGTCAGATAAGTAGACTTCCAAACAACTGACTAAATAAAGGAGGATTTGCTACAAATGCAAAGCATTCTTCTTCTTTGCTAATAGAAATAAATGCCCCAACAGAAATGTCTGACACTGGTAGTGTTCATATGAGCTTTATCATATTAATCTATTGTTTCCAAACTTTGTGTACACTAGTTGCAAAACTACATGTCACTGCAACGTGAAGTAGTGATCAATAACTAAGTTTTGCATATACCACCTACAACAAAGCTACACTCTTTAACTTACAGAAGGAGTTCCATGTTATCATTACCACAGATTCATAAAAGAGGTCCAGAGCAAAATGCTTTCTGTAAAACTTGCTCTTAAAATAGTACTGTGATGGCTATCATGTTTAAACTCTAAATCCAGGGCAAACTGAGCAGCTGAATTCTTTAATAGAGATCTTCATACTACAAATGAAGTTTCCTAGTACCATTTAAGAACAGTTTTGTTTGTTTGTTCCTCCATAGCCACTTCAAAGCACCACAGAACATCAAACTGCATCATTAAAACACCTTTGCCAAGCGTCTATTTTCACATTTCCCAGGCTACCACAAAAAAGATTGCTTCATTGTTTTTCTATTTAACATTGTTATTTGAGGTACATTAAGTTCACATAAGTTCACCCAAGCAGACCAAGGTAGTAAAAATTACTTATGACAAGTTATCAAATCTGTTGTAAAATAACCTGAGAAAGTATTTTCTCAATTTGTCCAGCTTCTCACTACATTAGCAATACCAAGAAAGCAAATATTTTATGTTGCTATTTCAACTCTTATAATTTCAAAAGCAAAACAGACTGCACACTGATAGACAAACATGCTGCACATTGATAGACACCCATTCTTCATAGGACGAGAAGAGGTAAAGAAACAAGAGGCAGCATCTTCATGTGCTGACACATGAACTAAAGCTCTCTATTGAACATGTTTGACTGTTTAACCTGCCACAGCAAACACTGACAGGTTAGCATGTCTCCTCTTTGATCTAAATGGACACCTTTTAATATGAGAACAACAGAAGTCCCTCAGAGCCCCATGATATTCCATCTACCTGTGCTGGAGGCTGCTTCAGATTGCTGGTAAACTGCAGTGGAAGAGGATGATGCAGGAGAACCAGTGGAAGCACTGGCAGATTCCTTCCCTTCCAGCTCAGCCACAGGCAAGAGTGGGTTCTGGTTCAAATCCAAGTGAGTAGGGCTGGAAGGAATTCCATTCTCCAGCAGAAACTCATCCAGATCCATGTACTCCAGGTGGAAAGACTCGCCATCATAAGGAATTGTTTTGTCCCAAATGGGTGGCATGAGGGAAGCTGAGACTGCCATAGTGCTGGCAGCTGCTGCCTCATCTTCTTCAAGCTTTATTTTCTCCTTCTCTTTATCTGAAAGATACAAGTAGGTCACTATACAAGCCAAAACACAGGAGAGACTCAAGGTTTAAGAGTCCAATAAAATCCTCATTAAAGGAAATTCAGTAAGCTCATGGTTCTGCCTCATGACACAATCTGGAAAACCAGTTGAAAAGCGACATTTACATATAGAATGCTCTAACCCTCTGCGATGGCTGGACCACAGGCAGCTGAGCAGCCTTGCAGATCAGCATCTTTGCTGTGATAGCTTACCAAGGGGAGATGAAATGCTGAATGGAGCTTATTAACCAGTCACTGCAAAACAGCCTGGTTTTCACATACCCATCTCAGAAGACACCAAAAGTGAGTGTCCCTAAGCAGGATTACATGGGAAACTGTTAAGAAAATTCTGAGGAGGCAGAGGAGCTTATTCTATGCACAAAGAAGGAAAGTGTAGAACAATAATTTAAATACAAATCTGATTACATCTGAAAATCAGTCAAAAGGTCCATAGGACACCAGAGACCTGGATGCCTATTGTTCAGCATTTTAGAAGCATTTCTCTCTGAAATGACTCAGCATGTCCACAGAAAGCAATAGCTCCAAGTACTGCTCACTATAGATAGCTCAGAGTACCTACATACAATTTTCACTCTTTGGGGAGATGTCTAATAAGGCACACTCCCACATCACACCCCCAAGTCACAAGAGACTGATGAGTTTTTCTCCATTTACTGTGCTACAGTGCACATATTACAGAAAAATGGCTGTTTCTATGTTCCCCATAGCTACTGAATCTTAACAATTGTCTGGGACAGAATCCAAGCAGAAAACTCAAGTTATGGAATAATTACATAATTTAAGAGATAAAAATAAGCTGGCAGAAAAGAAAAAATTAAAATCCAAGTCATTTTCCTGATCCAGTTCTCCATGCAGTTCTATCAGCAGTGAAGGAGGCATTCCAGAAGCAGTGCTCGTACTGCCAGCACTGAGCCAGCATTGCTGTCAAATAGAAGGGACAGTCACCAGTTGTGCCCTAAGCACCTGCAAATTGGGCATTACCATGGAAGCCAACAAATACTCAGTTTAATAGAACAGGGACTCCAAGGACATACACTGGACCAGTCTGGATCTCCAGTATTAACAGAAATTAGCCCAATAAAATGCACCAGTCTTTGGCATTAGGGTTTTCTAGACTGGGTACAATATGCTAAAGGAGCATTTTTCTTTATCAGGGGTGGAAGTGGGGGGTGAAACTTGGCTCTAAATCAGAAAAGCCTATTTATATAAAACCTATTCTGATAAAAGTGGCATTCCTTCCGCTGTTGCCTTAGCTGGTGTGGATCTGAGACTGAAAGAGCTTTTTATGGCTTAAAGAACAGTGCTGCCATACAAAGTAAATTATCTACCATATTCTGAATATTTTCTACAAAAGAAGATACTGATTTTAAACCAAGCAGCTGAGAAACTATTCACCAGCCATCAGCTTGGGATCAAGAGCAACTACCTAAAGGACACATTAAATTCAGACCAGTGGCTCCTGGACCTTGCAGCTTTTTGCCTTCTCCTTGCCACTTCACACTGCTCCCTCTAAACTGCCATCTTCATCTTCCAGCTCCTATTCCTGCTATCAACTCCTTTTCATGGGGAGTTTTGCAATTTTCTACCCTTTGCTTGGGGAAAGCAAACATGCAGGTTAACAGTAATGATGTAAATAACCAGAATGTTTCTGAACAGCTACTCCTTGAAGGCAGTAAAGAATCAGCATCTGCTCTATATACAAGGAGCACACCCTGTCAAATTGGAACTAGCATTTCACCTGTGAATAGAGACTGTGTACTCCCCAACACTTCATAGTGGCCAACACAACCAAATCCAGATTTGCACTGGATGTTGTGGATGATATCCTAGTAAAGATGGCACCAAAACAAATCCAAGCAACCATAATGAATTGTTTGTAAATAATTATTTTTCATTAGTATGATAAAAAACTTGTGTAATGTTAAGTCAAAATGTCAACTAAAAAGAAAAAAAAAATTATTAACTCTTTAAAACAGTACACCATTGTAAGTTATGCCAGTTTTAATACAAACCAGCAGGGCTTTTGTTTTTCAACAGCTAATACAACATCTCCAAGAGAGGAGAAAAAAAAATAACTGATTGTTAGACTGAATATAAGGCTTAAAAATAATTTTTGGAAGTTAGATGCTAAAAAGACTGCATGACTGGCATGTGTGGCTCTTGACAGATCTTTTAATGCCTTTTGAATGATCATCCAAAAGGCATTAAATGCATGATCATCCTGCTGTCCTGCAGTAACCTGGATACACTGTGGTTCCTCCAATTTCCTCTTGTGATTGCCCCTGGTTCACATCAGATTAGATCCTTCCTCCAGGTAAGAAAAGCAACTGAAATTTTTTGTCCTTTTGCTACAAGCTGACAATGTAGTAAGCACTAGGCCCCCAGTGCTGTCTTTGTTTAGCTATGCTGTCTCTCAATCCTCCCTCACTTCTAACAGTATCTGAAATAAAATAGCAGAAATTAACACATATTGGGGGCTCATCTATTTCAAAAATGATACATAACATAGTAAAACCTTTGTATGATCATTTTTGCATTGATGTTTTCCCACAGGCCTTTTTTCAATTCATTTTTTCAATTCTTTATTTCTGCCACACAACATCCTGCTTGGGTGCACAACATCTAACAAAACACTAATTAGCTTCTTGCATCTTGAGGGGGAAGTTTCTGCCTACATCAGCACAGGGACCAGAAAGATTAATTCACTTAAGATATTTATAGTGTAAACAGGTATTACCTGACAGTAGAGCTGCAGTATCCTAAGAGGCTCCATTTGCAGCAATTCAAGGTCACCCTGGTAAATCTGGACTGTATTTCTGCAGATGATGGCTTATGTCCAATTTAACCCCCTCATTCTGCTACTGTGACCTATTAACTGGGCTGTACATTTGGTGTTAACAGTGAGGACATCAGTTTATACTCCGTGACTTAAGTGGACCATTCCAGTTACTGAACTGTTGGAAATACTGCTGTTTTAACCAAAAGCAGCAGCATGAAAAGAGATTTATTCCCTGTCCTGGCTTTTCCTCAAAACCAAAAATCCAACTACACCAAAAGCCAACCCAAAAGATTGCGGCCACCAGGCTGTCAAGAGCTAGCCTAGTCACAAACATTTATTTGACAAATTTCTTCTTGTTCACCAAAAAAAAAATTGTCAAATTATACTGAAAACGCTAAATATATATAGACTGCTCCATAAACCTTTAGTCCCACTTATAAGGACGGAACAAGGCAGGTTGCAGGCTTCCCTTATCCCTAACGCCCATTACTGTGATGTTCACTGAGGCATTTCTCCTGCCACAGCAGCATGCAACTGGTGATTAAGGCATCTTTTGGAGAGTATGCAGCAGCTCATTACTAATGGAGAGACCTGCACTCCTGCTCCAGAATATTAATTGCCTTCCCTTAACCCACATGACTTTTCCCTTTTTTATAAAAATATCATTATTTTTATTTATTTAATCCTTACAACATACACAACAACAACTCCCAGCAAGGCTGGTGAGCTGTACCTGGTCCATGGCAGGGCATTCAAGGGGATGGCATTCTGCTGGAACTGGCTGACCTCCCTCCTCTGTCGCTCAGAAGGATTAGAAAGCTGCTTGCTTTGACTGGGTAGTCAAATTACCAACAGCAGTTGGAAAACCCACAGGTAGCTTGCAGAGACTATAAATGGACAGACACTGAAGCTAGCTGATATAATTCCTTATAGAATAAGACAGAAAATTGTGTTTTTGTCAATAGGCATTCCAGACAAAAGCACAGGGTCTTTTCTCAAAAAGTTTGCTGGAAGTGCACCAGTGGATTAAGTGAATGAGTAATTTTTTAAGATTTTCAGTGTATCACTGTTAAAAGAACAGATAATAATCAAGGACCCTCTGAAGTCAGTTAAGTCTTAAGACTACTGACAGGCCTTTTGTAAATTAGGAATTACTACAATGAAGGCACTTTCATTTGTCTTGAACATGCAAACAAGAAAAGTATCAGAGACCAAAATAAACAGAGAGCAACAAGTTCCACAAAGTGTGAAGTGAAACAGAACAAGGTGAACAAAGGAAATCTTATGGAGAAATCTTAAGAACAAGAACAACCTGAACTTTATCACACCATGAATGGAGAGAGATAATCAAGATGAAATAGACTCACTAGCAAGCTTCAGAGGCTCCAGCTGAACACCTTCACGAGCTGGAATGGGGTCATCTAGTAATCAAATAGTATCAAATGTTTCTAATTTTAGAAAAATGCACTACCTCACAATAATATTAATTTCAGAATTTTACATCTCCATAGGCCATATCAGATGATTCTGAACACAAAAAGCAGCTCCAAGACAAATCCACTAAATCCCTACCAGCAACCATACATCAACTGAAATTGTTCCTGCTAGCATTAATGTCTATAAAAGACTGGTTGCAGAAATATCTCAAGAAATTCCATTATTTTGTAGATTCAAGATTCTGTATGCTGCAGCATCCTGCACCATAGCAACACAGCTAAAACCTTTATCACAAGCTTTTTTTTTTTTTTTTTTTTCAGCAAAAAGGAGAAAAAGTCTCCAGAATCACAAAATGGATTTACAGGGTATTGTGCAATATTAGACATGCAAGGTAGGTAGGATCCCCACTGATCTTGCCAACCTTGCTTATGTTGTGGTTTACCCTGGATGTTGTCTACTGTTCCAAAAAATTATTTTTAACCTCAAAATTCATAGGTGTAAGGACTTCTTTTATTATGCTCTAGTACACTGAGCATTATAGCTGTGCAGATAATCCCGAGACTTCCTCGAAATTAAACTGATACTCAGAAAGGCAAAATTACTGCCAGATGAGAAGGGGAAAAAAAAAAAAAAAAGAAAGTGTGCCATCAGCACCGAAGACTATAAGCACTAGCACCGCTATTTACACAGCTGGTGTCCACATCATCAGCAGCAGAGAGGCAGCTCTAGCCCATGCAGGACTGCATGTGCAGGCAGTCACTCATACCCTTATGGATTATCACCGAAGCTAATCTCAGGGGATCCGCTGTTTACTCGTGTCATCGGGCAACTTCCCAGCAATTAAGGTCAAGCAAGACTCGAAACCTTCTCACTGCTGCTCTCCGCTACGCGTCTACAGGCGGGGGAGGCTGCAGAGAGCCGAGGGACTAAAACCAGCGTGTCACATCTCGGCTCCTGCCCACCCTTCGCTCCCGCAGCATTCGGTTTTGCCCAGCGCAGGCACCTACACGCTCCGAAGAGGACAATCCCCGGGAGGCGGGGAGCGATCCCGTGCAGCCGGCTCTTGGCTCGGCCGGCCGTGGGGGCGGAGGGAGGGAGGGACGAGGCGGAGGGAGGGAGCCGAGCGTGCGGCCTCTCCCGCGGGCGCTCCCCCCGCGGCCAGTCCCGCCGTGACCCGCCCTCCGAGCCACGGGGCGGGCCGGGGGCGGCGGGGGTGGGTAACTGGGGGGCGCCGCGCGCTCCCGCTGCCCCCGCGCGCGCCCCCACGCTCACCCAGGCGCGCCTCCCGCGGCGGGTTCTCCATCAGCTTCTTCAGCACCAGCGGGAACGCGCCCGCCAGGCCCCGCCGCTCCTGCTGCGCGGCGGCCCCCGCGCTCCCTCCGGCTGCAGTGGGCTCTGGTCCTCCCGCCGCCGCCGCCTCCTGGTGCGCGGCGCGGCCGGGCATACTCCCCGCGGGCGGGCGGGCTGTCAGCGGTCACCGGCGGCGCGGGGCTGCGGCGGCTCCCCGGGACCCGGCGGCGGCAGCGGCGGAGCACGGAGCGAACGGCGCAGGCGCGGCCGGCTGACGCCCGGCGCGTGCTTCAGTATTCATGAGCTCCGGGGCCCCGCCCCGCCCCGGCCTCTCCGCACCCCGGGATTGGCCCGAGCCCCCCGGGGGGGGTGGCTCCGCGCGGACAGGCCCCGACTTCCCCGCCCTGCCCTCCCCGCGGCCGGCGCGGGCACGCGCCCCCCGCCCGCCAGGGCACGTGCAGGGGCGGGGCCTTAACAGAGCTCATTAGCATCCGCAGCCCCGCCCCCTTCTGCTCCTCCCGCGGGCGCCGCGTCACCGTCAGGAGGGCGGAGGAAGCGGCGGGAGGCCGCGCGCGCTCCCGCGGCCCAGCGGTGCCTGAGGGGGCCGCGACCGACCGGGCGTCCGTGAGGGCCGTCCCGGCAGCGCGACGCCTGCGAGCCCCCTCCCCGTCCTGTCCCGGCGCCAGCGCTCCAGCCCGCCTTTGCATATCCTCGTTTAGGATCCCGAAATCACCTTTCGCGCGTGCCCTGGATTGAATCTGCCTCCGTCCCACACGATGCCCGCAGCGGCGTGCCCTACATAACGTGGGCAGGGAGAGGGACTTCACTGCAGTGCTGGCATGGGCGGGCTGCTGGGGGAAGGGAGGACAGGCCGCCTTTCCAAATTGTCATAATCACAAGAAATTCTTGCGATTCTCCAAGCGGCCCCTTGCTCTAGCAGCAAGGATGCCATGCTGGGATTTAAGCTGCTGAACACACGAAGGGAGCACATATTGCCAAGTTCGTTCCTGAGAGCACAGGTGGATACTGAGGAGCATCTCCCACAGAATGAATAAATTCACAGAAATGTCAGATGCTGCAGCCACAGGCTTCTCCTGTCAGCAGTGGCTGCTCTTCCCTCGACAGGATGGGCTGCAGCGAGCCGGGAAAGGGAGGGATGTTCTGCTGGGATCGGCCCGCCTGCATCCAACAGAGACGAGGGAGCAAGAGCACAGGTATTCCCATACGTGCCAGAAGAAAAAAAGACATCTTCCTCTCAGGTAGGCCCTTGGGCATCTGCTTGGTTGAACTCGCCCCCCACAAACCTCAGACACTTAATTTAACTGGCAAAACACCATTTTACCTGACCCTTACTAATAAACCCTGATGGTCTTTATGACCAAAAAAACAAACAAACAAAAAAAACAAAAAACAAAACAAAAACAGAAAACCAACCAAAAAAAAAAAAAACACAAATGCCCCAGGAAAGGGAATGGATTTGAAGTCACACAGAGCACAGGATGTTTTCCTCCATTGTCTTACTGCAATGAGGACCAGAGGCCATTTCCACCCAACCGGGGCAGATGCGGAGCTGCCCCACCCAGCAGCAACTTCTCTTGCGTGGGCCCAGTCTCCTCCCTCCTTCACAGGGAACGGCTGGGACTCCAGTGCAACTCCTGCACACATGGTGCCCAATAGGAAGCTTGGGAAAGGACACCCTGTTAATATAGGGTGGAACAGCGCAGGTTAACACATCGTTTATCAAGGCTGATAAATCCATTTGGAGAAGCAGACAGAGCAGGTCATGCTCCACTGCCCAGTGTGCTCCAGGGCTGCTGCCTGCCCTCCATGGATTTCCTCCGCCTTGCCAAGCTCAGCTGGCAGGAAGAAAAGGCACATGTGTGAAAGGGATATGCCACTTCATAGAGGGTAACGAGACACAGATGTCAGACCACACACAACAGAGGCAGCACACACAGCTTGGCAAGGGGCAGCAAACCCGCAGTGGTGCTTTTGTCTAGGAAACAGCTATTGATAGGTGGTAGATAGAGAACACAACCAAGTGAGGTCACAAAGGAGCAGCTTTTAGGCAAGTGGACACAGTCAAAGTGGGGCAGGCTGTAGGCTTCCCATTCAGTTATGGCTCTCATGGTCACTTTGTTCCATTGTTGTCAATGCCCCAAGGATGATGCTGTGCCTCAGTACTGTACAACACTCCTTTCAAGGAACAGGATCTGTGCACATCACCCCTGCAGAGCTCAATGGCAGCTGCTTTGCTGGGTAATGTCTGTACGAAGGGAGGTTATTAAAACCACTCAGCAGCTTTTACTCCAGGGCTTTTCCCGTTAGATTGACCATGTTCTTCCTCCAGCACATTTCCACCCATGCTCACTGTGCTAAGTTTTGTTCTGTACCACCATGAGTTGTAACTTTACTTGGAGAGGGTCTAGACTACACAGCATTAGCTGCTCTTCCCAAAGGCAGGAGGGAGGGAGTTCCTGAGGAGCATTCCTGTGGGTTGCTTCTCATATCACCCTGCTCCAGCATTAGCACTGCTCTGCCAGCTAGGAGGGAGGCTGCCTTGAGAGCTTTTCCTCACTGCCTCTGGGGATTAGGTGCTCAAAGCAATTGTCAACAGAATGCAGGCACTGTACCACAAGCTTTACCTTCTTGGTTAAGCTGGGATCTGCCTGGGATTTTTACACTTGCTTTCACTCTGCAGCTGAGGAGGAAAAGTGGAGGTCAGTAAGATGTGAGGAGAAGAATGCAGTGGCCTTGGCTGTTACAGCTGGGAGTGTTGTCGGGGCCAGATGATACAGAATAGCCCAGTTCTGGGGTGCAGCAGGGAGGGACGCAAGTGATAACCAGCTCACTGCTGGGCACGGGATGTGAGGGGGAGATGTACAGCAAGCCCCACTGGGAGGTTTGAATAGCAGAATAGAAAATTTCAGAGAAAGGCCTGGGAACTAGCAAATCCAGATGAGTGCTGTCCAAGTATGGAGACCCAGAAGGAGAGAACTGAGCTCTGTGGGAAGAGGGCCATGATGGGAATGCTGGCCTGGAGAGGGAGGCAGCATGATAAAGAGTTCTGAGGACTACGGGAAGTGATGCAGAAAGGCAGGGTGGTCCTGGAGCTGAAGAAGAAAGCTGCCACAAAACAGCACTCTTAGCTGCCAAATAAGTCACACTGAGTAAAGACTAAATTATTCTCTCTTCAAATCATTGATCTCTCCTCTACCCCCTACTCTAAACAGATAGGTCTTGCCAGCACTCTTCCCTTGGATTAATTGAATCCACTTGCCTGTGGAGAGCAGAGAACCCAGAAAAGCAGCCAAACTTAGCTTAGCCACAGCAAAGCTCTGCACGACATGAGCTGCCCTTGGCTGTTACTGCCTCCTCCCCAGCAGTTGCACTTTCTACCTGGATACTGTCAGCTGGGGAGACATGCCCTGGTCCACACAAACAGGGACTTCATACAATGTGGTATGTAAACACATGTGTTAGTTAGCAGTCTCAGCAAAGAAGAGAGGGAGCTCACAGGAGGCAGCAGCAGAGCAATGTGACAAAATGAGCCCCTCAGGGGTGGGGCAGTTCCCCTTGCCCTATTTCACTTTTCCACAGGGAGCACATGCATAGGGCTCATAGGGCTGTGCATGTGCCATAGGGCTCACTGTATTACAGGAGATGTAGGCAGCTGCCTTTCCTTACATGAATGCTTTACTGTCACAGGAGCAGCCTTTTCTCCCAGTGACCCTGGAGCGAGAGCAGGGTCCTTCTCCACACTGTGTGTCTGGTTTTTCTGCTCCTGGGTTCTGTTGCTCCTTAACACTGCAGAGCTGCCTGGATGTCCTGGTTGCAACTTCCTAGAGAAGAGCAAGCTCTGTGCATGTTTGTTTCTGTGAGCTCAACTCACTCATGCCCAGACATAGGCTTGTTGAGCCGAGGTGTTCCCACACACCTCCCCAGCACTGAGCAGCAAATGTTAAAACACAACAACCAAAAAGCAGCTTGTCAAGGGTCTGTAGCATCCTATCCAAAACCAGAGAGTACTCAAGCTGGGTGATGGTTGCTTGGAGCAGACCCAGCATTAGCGAAGCCATCAGTGCAGCATGAGCAAAGTGTTCAGCACAGCAAAAGCTCAAACTAAATAACCTCCTGGGTCCTTTCCATTTGTTTTCTACGATGCTGCACAGAGAGTGAGAAAACCTAGGAGTACAGAAGTGCTCTTGCAAAGAAAATGCAGGATTTGCTGTGTTCTCTATCCCAGTTTTTCACTAATAAACAATTAAACAAAGTTTGCACAGTCAGCCTGCCCCATGCAGGCTGGGCTCTCTGGACAGTCTGAGTCTGGGAAAAGGCAGTGTCTGGAAGCTTAGTGGTTATTAACCATAGGATAACAATGAATGGCAATCCTGGAAGTCACTTCTATGTGAGCATAAACATTTCTGCCTAAGCCTTTTCTGTGCATGAATCTTTGAGGGTTTCCAAGAAGTGGCCGAGCTCAGAGATTAAAAGGATCAGCAGCTCAGCATGATTTTATAATCAATCTATTGCTGCTGTTTTTCCTCCTAGCTGCACAACATGCATAGTGCCAGAACTCCCGGTCTGACTTGGACACTTTGGGGAAACACACCCTTGAAGGGCTTGCAGCAAACAAGATCTGCCCATTTCTCACCTTTCAACTGAAGGAGAAGATGGAGAAATCAAAACAGAACCCCCAGTACATATTTCTTCAATCCTACCTGTCATCTTGTTCCAGGGCAAGGAATACTCCAGTAGGGACTTCAGGACTTCCGGAAAGTCCAGGGCAGTGGGGCCCCCAGGGGTGTTGCAGCTTGACATGTCCTGTCCTGGGACTGTGCCAGCAGAGCAAAGGGAGGGCCAGGTGCCTGGCCACCAGCCTTACAGCCCACTATCCTGGGCGTTGCGAGATGGGCTCAGAGGCACCCGGAGCGGGTTTGCGGAACTGCTCTAGCTGAGAAAAAACAAGGAGAATGGGAAGCAGCCTGGCAGAGATGCAGCTTGCCTGGCTGTCTTCACCTCCCCCTCTCCCACTCTGAAGTGGCCAATTGTGGAAATAGCTTGCAGCCTTGCAGGGCTGGGCTGGGCGCCTGGCCAGCATGGTTTTACAGGGCCTCTCCCAGCCAATCCGGCAGCAAAGAACTGGGCCAGTTATCTAACTTTGCAAAG